AGAATTAGAAAAACACTAGCTGTTCTGCTTGTAGGATTGCCTAAAATGTATTATATGCATCTGGGTAAGTACCATAGAATAAAATAAAGCACCTTTTAAAAAAATCAATTATCCCTTTCTTACTACCAGTGTTTGTTTTGTCTTTACTTGTACATGTAAATCAGAATTGAAAGAAATCTAACTGAATTCTTTGAACTCACTTCTCTTTCCCCACATTGAGGAAAACACACATGGTAGCTGGGTCTCCTAGGTCTCCAATGATACTGTGGCTGTTGGCCGCTCTGAAAACAGGTGATATGCACACAGCAGCTGGAGGGTGAGGTGATTAGTGCAACATCATATCAGATTCACATCATGCTGACTGAAATAAGACCATCACAAGGGACTAATGCTATAGGCTAACTCCTTGCTTTCTCACTCTGCTAAACATAGCAGAGCAATAGGACAGAGGATTGGTGCATCCTGATCTTGGAGTGAAAAGTAGTTATAATAAAGAAAGAATTCTCCATGTGAAAGGGAGAGCAAGAGATGAGTCTGATTACCAGCTGGTGCGTGAAACTTCTGGTGAGATGTGGTAATTCTTTATACCTTGGTCTTTTTTCTTGATAATACATTTCTGATTTTGACTAATTATTTGATAGTCTGGCTATGATATTTTAAATTTTTTTTAAAAAACCTAACTGATTCTGACCCACCAACCCCCAACAATGCTGCAAGTTTACAAACCTTGGTTCGTAAGCACCAATGGGAATAGCTGCAAGGTCAAAAGGTCCAAATCTTTTCCCTATCTCTTCAAAAGCAGGACAATAACCAGTATCTCCTGCAAAGAAGAATCGATTCCAAGGCCCCAAGACGGACCAGCTGCCCCACAGAACCTTGTTGTCATCCATTAGGGTCCTCTTACACCAGTGCTGGGAAGGTGTAAAGACAAAAGTGACCTTATCATGGCCAGGGACACAATTCTCCTCCCACCAGTCCAGCTCAATCACGTTTTCACAGCCACATTTCTGCATCCAATCGAGGAGACCCAAAGGCACAAACCATCTCAACTCGTTACCGAATCGCTCATTCAAAGCGACGACAGAATTGTAGTCCAGGTGGTCATAGTGATTGTGACTGATAAGGACGGCATCTATTGAGGGCAGTTCATTTATTGTGCATGGGGGGCGACGAAACCGCTTCGGACCCATGTACTGTGATGGAGAAGCACGAGAGCTAAAGATAGGGTCTGTAAGGAGTATGAGCTCATCCATTTCCACCATCAGTGTTGCATGTCCCAGCCAAGTGACCCTTAAACCAGCCTCCCGCACTCCAGCTTCTTCAGGGTCATTGATAAAATATGGCTTGAGCACTGGGAGTTCTTTGTCAAGTTCCTATGTGTATAAAGAGAGAAAGGAAAAGCAGCAGTTAAAAAGAAAAGGTATTATATCATCACAGAACATATTTTACATAAGTTATAGTAAGAAGAACTATTTGGGGAGAACTGAAGTCATCCAATAAAGTTGCTATTTTTGTTGTTCTCCTGAAAATTCATCCTTTACTTCTGGATTTGACTTACTGTGATGATACAATAGTAACCATTTTAATTCCAAATGCAATCAGAAAAAGGGAAAATTAAATTTAAAGCTTTGAATACTGCTAAACTTATTAATTTCTTTAAAGCCCTTTTCTGAAATAACAGAAGTAGGCTTGCCTGGATGCAGTCATTTTTCAAATTTTCACCTCACTAAGCTGGTGGATTTGCTGCTGAAAATGGCCTTAGAAGCAGGTCAGTCCCTGGAAACAATACAGAAAGCTGAGAACAGCTAATTTGTAGCTCTTGGATCTCAGATATGAATCTGACTTTTTGAGTACACATAACAAAATGAAGCACTGTGATGGTTCCTAGGAAAATCACATTCACAAGTGGTTCTTCTTGTTCCTTACCCTTAAGAGGTGGGCTGAGACAAGGGAGGGCAGATGGGGAGATCTAGTGAAGGAAAACTAGTGAGAAGTCACCGGGATAGTCGGAATGCAGGGAAGGGAAGAGAGGGAGCAGCACAGGGAGAGGACAACAGAGATTTTTGTTAGCCACTCTAAAGCCTGGTTTCCCCATGTGGAAAAGAGATATAGTAATTTTATTTCCAATTCACTGCTGTGAGAACTGAAGTAGGGTGGCTGCATACAATATGTACTCTGTTCCCAAAGAAGAAAGCAACCCCCAACCTGGCAACCAAGCATGCACCAATGTTATCAATTGCTTGCACTGCTGCACAGTGCTGGCCTACTTATGACTGAAGTAATATCCAGACACTTTAAAGCTCTGATTGTTCAGCTGTCTTTGTGGCCTCTCAGTCCACACACATGAGCCAAAACAGTTCTCAAAAACAGCCTAGTTAAGGAATAACTTCCTGGGGAAAAGTCTTCACTGTTCTCCACTGCCTAACAAAAATCCACTCCCTTCCTTGGCCTAGCCATAAGCCAACTGTGGGCTTCCCTAGATTTCACACTATTCCTCTACAAATGCTCTGTGTCCCATCTACATGGACTACCTCCCACTCCTGGCCTGAACATGAGAATCCCATGAGGTACTGATCCCATTTCTCAGGCTGTCTCCCCCTCTAAGCCCTCTGAGACTTATCACACTGCACACCCTAAGCGGACCATCCCTGCGCCTCCACCTAGGGAAGCACTCACTGACTCTAAATTTCCATGCCTCAGTCCACACATTTCCTCTAATATTCTGGTGACTCTATGCAGGATTTACCTCATGTCTTATGCAACTGGGAATCAGTCAGTGTTTGGTTCAGTAACTTCAACACAGCATATGCTCAATAAAACTTGCTGGATGAATGAGTAAATAAACAAATGTGAACTTTGATTCAATTCTCAAGTTTGGCAGTTAGGGTTAAAGAACAATAACAAATGCCATATGGTGTACTTTTCAAGAAGGAAAAGAAGTGAATGTTAGGCATAATACTAACACATAATAGTAATGATGATGAAGGATCTAATAGAGCAAGTACTTTAGTATACTATAATATACAATAAAATACATTAACAATAACTACCATTTATGGAGTTTTTACTATGTACTAGACTTTGTACTTATTCATTTAAAATGACATTTTTTGGCATTACTGGGGTTTAAACTCAGGGCTTTGTGCTTACTATGCAGGTGCTTTCCTGTTTATGTCACAACCCCAGCCCAGTTTTTTTTAAAGTAACACTAAGATACTAGAGATAAATACTATTAATTATTTCCATCTTACAGATGAGACAACAAAAAGAATTAAAGTAGTTATAGCACTCATACCAGATCACTCTCAGCTAGTCTCCATGTTTACTGCCTCCCACTACCATATTTTCCCTCAAATATTAATTCACTTAATACATTTTTTGTGGTGCTGAGGATCAAACCCAGGGCCTCTCGTAAGCTAAGCATGTGCTCTACCACTGAGCTATACCCTCTGCCCACACTTAACACATTTTTTAAAAAAGCAACAGCTTGGGGAACAAGTAGGGAGAATACGGGTGAGACCTATCACAAAAGGACATAAGCAAGCATTTGAGAATGACAAATATGTTCATTATCTTGATTACAGTCATCAGTTCTGTGTGCATGTGTCAAAACTCACCAAATTGTACATTTTAAATAGGTTGAGCCTGTATTATGTTAATAAAACCTTAAAATTTTTAAACTAGCACCAACTCTCAGGATCTACATAGTCTTCGGTCTTGCTCTCAGAGACCCTGCACGGGCTGTGAGCCCGACTAAAGCCTAGTGCTGACGACCACCTGAAGGTCTTTTCCTCAGGAAAACTGCATTGAGAAGCCTTGGAAGGCAGGGAAATAACAGTCGTAAATACATAGAAAGTCAAGCAGTTTAAAAAAAAAAAAAGAAGGGTTATTAGAAGTTTTTAAGTATATAAACCACAGTGTACATTATTGGTTCATCAATGAAAAAATATTGATAGTCATAATGTTAGCAATAAAATCAGAAGGGTAAGTACAGTTAATAATATTCATAATATTGTATTGCATAATCCAAAATAGCTAGCAGAGAGGATTTTGAATATTCCTATCACAAAGAAATGATAAATGTTTGAGATAAAAAACCTAAATGCCCTGATTGACCAACAAGATGTATAAATGTATTTAAACATCACACTGTATCCTATAAAGAGATAGAATCATTATCTGTCAATAAAAAAAAAAAATCCAAGAGCCAGGCAGAGTGGTGTGCACCTGTGGTTCCTGGAGGCTAAGGAAGGAGGCTCACTGGGGCCTGCAAGCTTGATGCTAGTCTGAGCAACACAGTAAGATTCCATTTCTTTAAAAAAAAAAAAACAACAGGGAAAAGAAGGAAAAAATCATGATGTATCAATTCTAGCAGAATAGGAAAGATTAGGAAGAAGCATGAGAGTTGGGGGAGAGTGGCAGAATTGAGTTAAACCTGATAATCCAGGGTTGAAGTCAGTAGATAATGCCAGGGTAAGGCATACATTCCTTTGCCTTAGAAATATGAAGGTGACTGCAGAGGAAACCATTTCCAGCACTGAAAGTTGTTGCTTCTGGGGAAGGGAACTCAGTAGCAGGGGCTAGCAGTCTGGTATTTTCCTTGTAAGCCTTGCAGCACTGTCTTTATAAAAACTGTGTATTTTTTTCTTGTTAAAAATTAAAAAGCAACCAGAAGTATACTTGAATAAATTGATATTTTTCATTTTTTCAAGTCACCCTATTCTTCAATAAAATACATCTAAGAATGCATTATTTTCAAAGTAATTTCCTGTATCATGCAAACCTCAAAATATAAAGGAAAAAATTGAAGTTGACATTAGTCTTCTTTCCATTAGCATAACAAATACGTGAGATAAATCAATTTATAACAAAAAAAGGGGGTATTAGCTCACAGCTTTTGAGGTTTCAGTCCATGATTAAGTAGCCCCATTGTTTTGGGGCCTGTGGCAAGGCAGCACATCATAGTGGGAACATGTGATAAAGCAAAGTCTTATCATGACCATAAAAAAAGAACAAGGAGAAGAAAGGGCTGGGGTCCCCTTATGCTCTTCAAGAGCTCAGTTCCAATGGCCAGCAGACCTCCCAATAGGCCCCACCTTTTAAAGTTTCTATACTTCTCAATAGCACCAAGCTGGGGACTAAGCCCTTAATACATGGGCTCTGGGGGACACGTAAGATCCCAGCTATAGCAAAATTCCTTGGGGGATTGGATTGTGATAGAAATAAGGCCAGTCAGTGAAGAACCGTAAACCCAAACCTGTTTTCCAAACCCCTGCTGTCTGTAGCAACCTGTTCTGTGTGCCTCTCACATTTCAATTTGATTGCCCTGTGTGTACTTCTGCAGCAGTAACTGATTAGGACAACTAATGTAACTCAGGAAGTACCCTTTCCTCCCAACTGGACATTCTTCATTTCTCTCTTTTTCTCTGTGGGTGACTATGATTCACAGTATCAATCAGACAAGGTTATGGACCCAGCAACAACACAAAATAATGACAGCATTTGAACAATACACAGCCTGTAAACTGGCACCCTCCACTGATGACCCAGAAGAGATAAATACCAGGAATGACCCAAGCAAACAAACACTGTTACCTGACCAGGCAACTGAACTGTGTAGCCTGCTACAAACCATTTTCACTTCACTTGGACCTATCAGTTAATGCATATTTTAATCATGTCTCTTCCGAAATACTTTCGTATTTATATACTTAAAACAATATACTATGAGACATAATACATAACACTGTAAGGCAGCATAAGATATGATTATTCTATGTTTATTACTTTATTTATAAAAGAGCTATCTGAAGTTGTGATTTACTTATTAAATGCCAGCTTCCCAATGTCTAACAAAAACAACTCCCAAAAATTTGATTAAAATAATTATGAGTTGACTCAACCATCTGAAGCAGATGTTCTTCACATAGTTCTTCATGGTTTGTTGTTTGTTTCAGATTTTTCTTCACATAGTTCTTCATGGTTTGTTGTTTGTTTCAGATTTTTTTCTTTTTTTTTTTGGTAGTACTAGGGTTTTAACTAAAGGCTTCATACTTGCTAGGCAGGCACTCTACCACTTGAGCCACTTGGCCAGCTGTTTGTTTTTGGAAAATGTACTGCTCTATCACATTTGAGAGATGGTGAAAGTTAATACTTGAGCAATTTATTTAAAGGGCTTAAGCATAGAGATACAGTTATCCTGAAATAAAAGAAGTCAACCTTCACTTGATCTAGCGCTAGGCTTTTACTAAAAACGGGAAGGAAACAAGCCATAGATAAGAAATCAAAAATCAAATATAAATTGGAGTAGTGCAGAAGTGTCTTGTCTTACTTTTTACTCCTCAATTTGTTTTTAACTGGTACAGACAGGAGGTCTCATTTGGCCTTTTTTGTTTGTTTTTTTTTTTAATCTCCTGCCTTAAAAATGAAAAGCTTTAAAGAATGTAGCCTCACCTCTAGCACTGTAACTTCCTTCTCTGCTTTATTATTCTTTACTGCACTTACAATGTTTTAATACATCACACAACTTACTTAGTGTCTCTCTCTCTTCCACTAAACCTACAGTCTAAGAGAGTCATATTATCTCTCTGCTCTGTTTGTGGCTCTGTTTCTACTACATAATACAGTGTGCCAGCAACAGGAAGTGCTCAGAAAATACTTTAAACAACAAGTGAATTGATGGACTTGACAGGTTTCATAAAACAGGAGAAAGTATAATTAAAAAATGTTTCTACTTGCATGTGTGTATCTCTCTGAGAAGAGGGTCCACAGCTTTCATCAGCTTCTCAACAGGGGTCAGTATCCAAAACAGCTTAAGAACCACTGGCCTGGTGAGTCCTCAGAGACTCAACAAAACTAAATATACCATAACTAAACTTTGTTATTTTTAGAAGCTGTGACCCAAAACCAGGAAGAAATTTACCCCAACACATAGCCTATATATCTTGGTCTTCATCCCTAATCCTTTTCACAGCCTGACTCCATGTTTCTCTTCATATGGTATTCATTAGGAAAAAACAAACAAACTCTCTTGTTCCTTCACACCATCCTAAAAGTTAAAAACATAAGCTTTCGTCTATTAATGTCTTGCCTAATTCTAAAGAGGTGCTTTAAAAAAAAAAAAACCACTGGAGCCATGTATGGTGGTACATCCCTACAATCCCAGCTCAGGAGACTATGGCAGAAGGATAGAAAGTTTAAGGTCAGCCTATGTCACACAGTAAGGCCCTGTCAAAAAAACAAAACAAGCCAGACACTGGTGGCTCACACATATAATCCTAGCTACTTGGAAGGCTGAGATTGGTAGGATCGTGGTTCAAGTCAGCCCTGGATAAAAGTCAGCAAGACCCCCATCTTGGTGTGGTGTGAGCCTGTCATCACAAGCTACGGGGGAGGCTGAGATCAGGAAGATTGTGGTTCTAGGCTAGCCTGGGCAAAAAGAGTTTACAAAGATCCCATCTTAATCAAAAAAAGCTGGGCTTGGTTGCACATACCTGTCATCCCAACAATATCAAGAAGCATAAAATGGAAGGATCATGTCCAGGCTGGCCTAGGCAAAGAGTAAGACTGTATCTCCAAAATAACCAAAGCAAACGGGGCTCATGGTGTGGTTCAAGTGGCAAGAATGCCTGCTCAGCAAGCACAAA